CATTGCTTGTTTCTTCACCTTACTCTGTTTCTAATGTTCACTACACCGTCAGTAATGCTTGGCGTACACTATGGTGCCAACAAGATAGTTAATCCTACCATAAGGGGACCTTATTGTTATTTTTTTCTGCATACAATAGGTGTCTTTTTTTTACAAGGCTTTTACTGTTGTAATTAGTTGAATATTAGGCATCTATGCTTGGCGAAAGACCTTGGCACTGAGCCAAGAATACTTCCAGAGGATCGAGACTTGACAGGTGTAGTGTAGGGCATGCTACCATTTGACTGGCATGATGCCAGTGAACGCATGCAGGGCCCCTCCACTCTGCCTGGAGAAAGATCAAACTCCACAAAAGACCCGCTTGTTATTTGATCGGTGTTATTTTTTTAATACTAAAAAGTACAGCTCATACTGCTAAAGTGCACCGAAGCGACCATCTTACCATCCGTGCTAGGAACAATAGAGAACAGAGAGCATTGTCATTTTTAATTAACAATTTTTTTTTGCAAACTCTTACGAGGTTTAATGGAGCGTAAAGATAATGGGTGGTAGTGGACTTGGCTAAGATAACGGCACTCTTGATAATTGTCAGGGTGTGACACCTACAATGTCACCTTGTTTGATGTTCAGTTATTTCTTTCAACAATATGCCGACTTCAGTATAATGAATTTGAAGGGATCTGTTAACAGAACTAAATTAACCAACTATTCTTGCAAAATATGTAAAGAGTTACTTGTGACTTGGTTAAAAGATACGTGTTTTTAGACAGAAAGGGCATAGTCTGAAATGCACCGTATAGTCACATTTCTAATGTTCGTGTAGTACTAGTTGTCAACAAAATTAAAAGAGAAGTTCATACATGTTTGTGTGTTAAGTGATTGGAATAGTGTGTGTATAACAAGCAATGTTAAGATGAGCATCCATCATGGTACTGTATCATTCGTACACCATGTTTATCATGGTGCTGTATCATTCATACACCATGTTTATCATGGTGCTGTATCATTCATACACGATGTTTATCATGGTGCTGTATCATTCATACACCATGTTTATCATGGTGCTGTATCATACATACACCATGTTTATCATGGTACTGTATCATTCATACACCATGTTTATCATGGTGCTGTATCATTCATACACGATGTTTATCATGGTGCTGTATCATTCATACACCATGTTTATCATGGTGCTGTATCATACATACACCATGTTTATCATGGTACTGTATCATTCATACACGATGTTTATCATGGTGCTGTATCATTCATACACCATGTTTATCATGGTGCTGTATCATTCATACACCATGTTTATCATGGTGCTGTATCATTCATACACCATGTTTATCATGGTGCTGTATCATTCATACATGATGTTTATCATGGTGCTATATCATTCATACATGATGTTTATCATGGTACTGTATCATTCATACACCATGTTTATCATGGTGCTGTATCATTCATACACAATGTTTATCATGGTACTGTATCATTCATACACCATGTTTATCATAGTGCTGTATCATTCATACACCATGTTTATCATGGTGCCGTTTCATTCATTCCTGACATTTACCGTAAAACATCACAACATAATGCCTGGTAAACAATTCATTTGTATGTTTGTACACAATGTTTGAAACAAAACTCACACAGTTCTTTTAGTACCTAGAATGATTAATTGTACACTATTAGCTAAATAAAAGACTGGCATAGACATAGGTAATAATAATAATAGGTTTATTGCATCCTAAGAAATACAATGTTAATCAGTTAATAGCAATAAATATTTATTATTGTAAAATTAAGTAGGTATTGTGATAAAGCAAGCATTACATGTCGTCATTATTAAAATAAGCCATACTACATTATACATGCAGAATTGCAGATGACATGCACCTT